AACATTTGTATTTCCAGTGCTCTTTTTCTATATCTACTGTCCAGAAGGTATTTCCCTCACATTGGACTATGTGACAGGGGAGGGTTGGCAGGAAGGACTGGAGGCCGCTGTAGGACTGCTACAACTGTGTTCACTTGGTTGACTTGTCTGGGTTCTACTGGTGAGTGAAACCCGGGGAGAAAGGTGGAAAGGGTATATGGAGGGAAGAGTCCTAATTTCGAAGGCTTTGTTGATTGGCTCAGACAGATTTTGGAGTTAAAGATTGCAGGGTCCCCTCACATCGCTGCTGCTGTCATGATAAAACCGCTCTGGTATCAGAGATAAAGGGTCTCTTAGCTGTTATGAATCTCCTGGTTCTGGTTCCCCCCTGTTGCTGCAGAATGGTTCCCTCTCTGTGGATGGCGGCTTGTTGGTGGTATTTGTATAGGGTTTATATTTGTGTTGTTTGTTTCTGCTGTAAGAAAAGACATTGGGTGATGGGTTTGGGCTGTGGGATCTCATGCATGGATGTATATGTTCTGTGTAATGGGTATAGATCACATTGGTGTCTTGGATTCTTTTGATGCAACAAAATCTCCCTTATTCATATAAAAATACTGATTGAAAAGAGTGGCAGCTTGGCAGGTGTCCACCATTATCAGCAATTCCTTGAATCTACATCAATGAATTATGCAAATAATAACTACGTATCTCAAACTGACAACAAACCATGCTGTCAAACTTGAACAGAGTGAAACCTATCAACATAGCAATTATCTGTAGTCATATTTAATGATAGAGGCCGAGCAAACTGGAAATATCACATGGCACTGAATCATCTAATACAGCATGTTTTATTACCTATGCTTCTCCTTCATCTGCTTCACGGCATCAGCTAGATCATGACTTTGAAGCTCTTCTGAGTCCTGGAATTTTAAGAATTCATCTCCTCCATGACCAGTCATATACAGAAGAATGTGACTCCCTTCATCACTAAGGAGACGCTTTGACCTGGGAACAGCAGACTCATGCCGCCCAGTGAGAACCCGCAAAAAATTCTCCACTGTCACTTCATAACCTCTATAATCCACCTGAGAAAATTGGAACTTGGTAAGATCCAGTGTTCATTATAATAGGATCAACATTTTCAAAATCTTTGAGCATTTCTCAAGTACATGCTCCAAATCTGAGATATCATATTGGATCAACAGCTTTAGCCTTAGTGGGCTTAACAATCTGTAACATTTAATGGTTAATGGCAGTTGCAGTAAATTAACAACTTCCATGCAAAAAATCAAAATCTTTCATTATCCAGAACCCCTGGAAGTAAAGGTTTATCACATAATCAACTGAAAACCCACCAACCTCAACATTATCACCATACAAATTGAGCCAGTGATTCTCATTGTTGAAGACTTGGGCAGGGTACTTGTTCCTGGAATTGCAAGCCATGTCATCTGCCAACATCAGTATTATCCTCTCATCTGGAATCCCAAGCCGCTTAACTGTCCTGAGTAGCCATTGAAATGCAAATAGATAAAAATTAGTTTAGCTATACAAGCAATTGCTACGAGAGAAGGAATAACCAAGCTTACCTATACAAGGACAAAGTATTAGCCATATGCCTGTAGTTAAACCTGGAAAAGGGGAAATACCGATTCAATCAATTCCATCCTTGAACTAGTACATAAGCAGTGGCAAAAATGGAGCAGAGAGAAGCTTCGGCCGAGATTGGCAGCAAAAAGGGAAGTAACGAAATGCAATACTAGGTTGAATTTGTGATTAAAACTGAGATTGAAGAGGGTAAAGAAGAGGCTGGGAAGTTCAGGAACTTGATTAAATGAATGGGAAGAAATGAGGGCGGAAGCAGCAGAAGAAGTTGCGGAGAAGAAATTACCAGAAACGAGAGGTGCAGACCAAGACAGCCCAGTTATTGGTGTGCATTGTAGTTTCACTTGAAGAACCAGATGCGTCGGCGGCAATCGAACTGCAGAGCCAAATTGAGGCCAGAATCGCCACTACCGCCGACGAAGCAGCCATTTTCCGACTCGAAGCCGCGTCTGGGAGTTTGGATCGCATCGGAGCTGAAATTCTAAGTCAAGGGCAAAATCCAATCTCCAGGATTCCAATTCGTTCTTCAAACCTATGGCGGATCTAAAAGCATCAAACTTTGGCAAAAGCATCGAAGTTTTTCGAAACTGTCTGCTGTGCTGCACAAGAACTTGGTTTATAAAATCAGCTGCTGGCGGATGTTTTCCTATGCTATTTGCCGCTTGTAGTTATAAAAACGGTTATAGGTATAATATGTCCTTTTATGATGTTTTATCAAACATATCACTCTACTATTTTTTTATATCAAACAGCTTCTGTATTTTGGAAAAACTTATCAAACATGTCATTTTGTTAAAATTTTCATCCAAAAACCGTTAACCAAGACCGAACTTTGGTTTGGGCAACCCAAATATCTGGGCTAAGATCTGGTGACTAAGGGGGGTCCCTTAGTCACATGGCTAAGTGAATCTCCACTCTTGCACCTCATTAAAATCCAAGGGCTCCTATTAATCCAATTTAATGAAGGGCAATGTAGTAATTGTATGTTTATTTTTAATAATTATAAAAGAAAAAAAACACAGCGCCGGCTGTCCGTCCGTCGCGTCGCCTCCCCGTCTCCGTTCATTGCGCGGCCAGGGGAATTCCTGGGGGCGCCATTATTTCCATGGGGAATTTCCCCGGAGAGTTTCTGTGCGGCCATTGTGCCATTATTCCAGAGAGAGAGAGAGAGAGAGAGTTTCTGGTCGGAAATTTTTTCCTGGCGACCATCGTGGACGGAGAAGAATTTCCGGCGACAGTGCCAATTTTGTGATGTTTGTTGACATATTTTGTAATGTTTGTACACTTTGTTATTTTGTAATGTTCGTAACTTTGTTATTTTTGTGCACATGTTTGTCATTTTTGTCCACCATGTTCGTATTGTTTGTATGTCTAAAAAAACACCCGAGTTGACTTTGGGAAGGAGCCCCTCTATATAGGGATGGAGCTCCAAAGTCAACCCGGGTGTTTTTTTCCCGTTAGTATGGATTGTCGGTCTAGTTGTCATTTTTGTCCACCATGTTCGTACTGTTTGTATGTCTAAAAAAACACCCGGGTTGACTTTGGGAAGGAGCCCCTCTATATAGGGATGGAGCCTCGAAAGTCAACCGGTTGTTTTTTTTCTTTTGTATGGTTTATTGTTTGTCGGTCTAGTTTGTATTGTTTGTACAGTTCATGACGTTTGTAATGTTTGTAAATCTGTTTGTATGTTTTGTCGCTCTAGTTTGTACTGTTCGTATGTTTGTGATGGTTTGTACTGATTGTAAATCCGGTTTGTATACTTCGTAATTTTCCATAATACCCAAACTACCCTGTCATTAATTAAATAACCCTTCCCACTTTTAACCATTGGATTGAAGTGTCCTGATCTAAGGGCTGGGAGAGGCTTAGTCAAGTGACTAAGCACCCCCCTAGTCACTGGATCCGCTCTCCAAATATCTAATATATTCCTAATAATTTCACTTTGAAGTTTTTTGTTCTTTTGTATAGCCAAATAATTCTAATAATTTCACTTTGACGAGACCTAGAGAAATAAAACAAGGGTCAAAACTGACATTTCTCTCTCATTTATCGATGTTAGGTCGTCTAAATCTCTGTTCAACCATGATTGACGATTTTTTCAATGGAAATTTCAACTGAAGGGCATGTTTGATAATTTTTCCAAATTACAGGGGCATGTTTGATGTAAAAAAAGTAGAGGGGCATGTTTGATAAAACGTCATAGTAGAGGTAGTGATGGCAATTTCAACCTGCCCCGCGGGTATTACCCGACCTGACCCGCGATGGGGCGGGTATTACCGACCCGCAGTAGCGTGGGGCGGGGCATGGGTATCTACTACTTCCGACCCGCCCGTTCTAGACTCATTTTATCTCAATTTCTTACAATATCTATACATGTTTTCTCCTATTTTGACTTTCTTCAACTAGTTAGAGTCGATCTTTCAACTTGTTAGGCTCAATTATCCATTCTATTATCAATATTTTTTCATTCTAAAGTGTTTTTCCATACTTTTTGTAAAAAGTAAATTTACTTGTATTTTTTTTTGAACAACATGTAAGAGTGGGTCGACCCACCCCGCCCCGTACCCGCGCGGTTTTACCCGCCCCGACCCGTTGTAGCGTGGGGCGGGGCATGGGAATTGAGGTACCCGCCCCGCCCCGCCCCATTGCCATCACTATATCCTTATAAAAAATAGGGTTAATAGCATTCTATATCCCTCTACTATTGCAAGTTAACAATCATACCCGTCTACTATGTTTTTTGCACAAATGTACCCCTCAACTATCTAAACATAACCACACATGCCTTCTGTCACTATCTCCATTAAGTGACCGTTAAAACACGAGGAAAATGACTACAATATCCTTTCTTTAATATAATTATTATTCCATCAGAAAATAGAAGGAATCTATGATGCAATTCATCCCAAATTAACACTCCCAAATTGGATGCAAACAAATTCCTAGCTGTTGCCCTTCTTTTTCCTCGATAGAATCTGCCTGAATCTAGAGACTATA